AGCTGTGACTCGAGTCCTAACCACTGCACTTACTGCCTAGATACCCTCCTAGTTCTCTCCCAGCTGGAATCCACCTGGATGCCAACACTCTAGTCCCTACCCTTCAAGGCTGTTTTTTGTAGCCTTCTGGCTGAATGCACACAGGCTTGTTTGATCTCTCCCACCTGAGAGCATAATAATAACGCCATCAGAGACACTGCCAATGCGCATGTGCCGGCGCTGCCTGGTGGTTGGAGCATGGACCCTGGGGCCATGCTGCCTCGGTGTTTAAGTCCTGGCCTCATCACTCCAGACCTTGCACATGTTACTCAACCTTTCTGGGCCTCATTCCCTCATCTGGGAATGAGGGTAATAACAGTACCACCTCAAAGGCTGTTGGGAGGATTAGGTAAATTAGTATGTGCAAAAGTCTCAGAAAAGTGCCTGGCATGAGGCAAGTGCTGGCTTCCTCACTGAATTCTCACAACATCTTGAGAGCAACTCTCACTCACCATGCTGCCCCTCTGCCTGCTGAGAGAGTTCCCACTGTGGCTAGTGTGGACTCTTCCCAGACACCTGGGGGAATGCAACAAGTCCCCAGGCAAGGGCGGAAAGGACCTACATCTGCCTGAGTGCCAGGCCCATTTCCCTCACATCTATTACTTTGTTTAATCTTCACCACAACGCTGGGGGATAAGCACAGTTATGCATTACTTAAGGTCCAATATACATTCTGTGAAATAGGATGTTATGTGATTTGGATGTTGTTTGAATACCTTGTTATGGATGAAGGTTTTTTAGGCATTCGCTTCCAGAATAAGATTCCATCCATATTAAAAATGTGCTATAATTAGTTTATCTAAGGTTTCAACAAATTCTTCTGTTGCCTTCGTGTCAACACTTGCTGACTCACCACTCATTTTCACATTATGCAGTGAAAACGTTGTTCGAAGCACCTGAACCACGCAGAGCTAGCACTAAGCTTGATATCATAGTCTGGTCCTGCTTTTTCTTTAAGCAATTCAAAGAAGCTTTGTGCCTTAGCAGCTATTGTCAATGTGCTGAGAGGGATTTGCTTTTGTGTTTGGTCCTCAATCCACATCATTAGCAATTTCTCAGTATCTGATATAAAGGTCCCTCTCACATTTTCATTAGCCTTGTAGCTTTCAATCAAGCCTATCCTTTAATAGCCTGGAGAATTTTTTCTTTGTTTTTGAGTATCTATTGTCCAGTGCAACACGCCTAAATCCACTACATCCCGTTCTCCAATTGGGATTTCTGAACTCTATTATAACCTTAGACAGTGAGCCCTGGTGGTGCAGTGGTTAAAGAGTTCGGCTGCTAACCAAAAGGCTGGCAGTTCAAATCTACCAGCTGCTCCTTGGAAACCCTATGGGGCAGTTCTACTCTGTCCTATAGTGTCACTATGAGTTGGAATTGACTCGATGGCAATGGGTTTGGTTTTTTTTTTTTTTAAATTATAATCTTATGGGATCACAGACGTATATGCAGTTGGACATTACCTGAAGAGACATTATGTGATGCATGACTGTATTAAAGTACTATAATTCCCATTTTACAGATGAGGCACAGAGAAGGTAAGTAACTTCCCCTCAGTCATGCAGCTGGTACAAGAGAGCCAGGAGCCAAACTCAGAGGTGTTTAGCTTATAGTAACCCATTGCTGTTGAGTTGACTCTGACTCATAGCGACCCTATTGGACAGAATAGAACTGCCCCATAGGGTTTTTCCAAGGAGCAGCTGGTGGATTCGAACTACGGACCTTTTGGTTAGCAGCCGAGCTCTTAATCACTGTGCCACCAGGGCTTCTAGCCCATAGCAGGTGTTCGAAACAAATACTGCTGATGAAAGCTTATCCGACACTCATACTAGAGACTGTTCCACAACCCCACTTGGCTCTGCCTCCTTGTTACCATCCCTCCCTCATCCCAGGCCCAGAAGTTTCTCACTGGCATTTCCAAGGTTTGGACACATGGCATACGACACCCCCAGTCCCCAGCCCCAGGGAAGGCGCAGACCACACGGACAGGGAGGGCAGGTGTGAGCAGCACTTGGAGTAGCAGCAGGTGTGGGTGTGGGTGGCGCCTGGGCAAGTTCCCTTCCCATTCAGCTTGTTTCCCTACCTTGAGTGTTCTTCTTGGCTCAGGACTGTAGGGAGGAAAAAGAGAGACCTCAGAGAAGAGAAAAGCCACGTGACAGTCACTAGTGGGGGGCAGGAGAAAGAAGATGACCAGAGAAAAGTGACAGGGGAGGAGAACTGCCTGCTTGCCTTCACAGAGACCTCATCAGGAGATATCCCCTGGACTAGCCTTTGTGCTGAGTTGGGGAGGCAGTGGGTAGGTGTGGGAAGACCTGGTTCTCGTGCAGTCCTGCTGCTTGTGCGGTGGGACCTGGGTCAGTCCTTCCCCTCTGGGGCTAGCTGTCCCCGTCTGAAAATTAGGGGGCAATCTAGACTGCCCAGTTGTCCCAGCTCTGATAGTCAAGAGGTCAGTGATTCTATTCTCAAACTGACAGTTTCAAAAACAAAAGGGCATTTCTCTAAGGCTGGGTATCCTCACTCATAGGGCAAGTAGGAAATGTGAACAAGGTGTGCCCCCAAATTTAGAAACAGTGGATTTCTGATGGGTCCCTTGGTTGCTTGGTTGTGCAAACAGTTTACGCTAGACTACTAACATAAAGGTTGGTGGTTTAAAGCCACCTAGCAGAGTCGCAGAAGAAAAGCTTGGTGATCTGCTTCGATAAAGATTACAGCCAAGAAAACCCTATGGAGCTGTTGTACCCTGTAACACATGGAGTTGCCATGAGTCGGAACTGACTCAACAGACAACAGGTTTGGTTTTTTTGGGGGGTTACGTATTTTTTCTATATCAGACACCTAACAGCTAAAAAATAAGTAACTCCTAGCACATGTAACTATTTCTAGCACAAAACACTGGGCCTCAGAGGATCATCTGCACATGTAAATTTGGCAAATGTGCTAGTCAGATGCCCAGAGTCTCCTCATATTGAGATTCACTAATAAATTCAATTCCTGAACATGTAAATTCACACCCAGGCTCAGAGGTGAGTCTATGATAATAATCACCTCTCTGGGGCAGTCTGGAAGCATCCAGTTAAATGATTTCTCTGACCCCTGTGCTGCTTTATTAGGTCTTGAGCAGTGGATTCCAGCAGAGTGGGCAGAAAGAAGAGGAAAACACTCAGCTAGGGTAGCTTAGGAAAGCAAGCAACCCGATGGAAGCAATTTTTACTGCTGCATGAAGGAAAGAGAGTTTTCTAGTAATCTAGCTGTATCTGCATTTGAAAGTTGTTTTTAAAATTTTTTTAACCAAGAGAACCTCTAATTGCAGACTTCTTGTTGTCGTTAGCAGCCATCAAGTCAGCCCTGACTCATCAACCCCATACACAACGTAGTGAATGCTGCCTGGTCCTGCATCATCCTCGTGGTCGGTTAAGGATTGGACAACGCTCCGTTGCGATCCACGGGGTTTTCATTGGCTGATTTTTGGCAGGAGATTGCCAGGTCTTTCTTCCTCGTCCACCTTAGTCTGGAAGCCCTACTGAAACTTGTTCAGCATCATAGCAACATGCAAGCCTCTAATGACAGATGGGTGGTAGCTGCTCTCGAGGTGCATTGGCCAGGAATTGGACCCAGGTCCCCTGCATGGAAGGTAAGAATTCTACCACTGAACCACCAATGCCTCATAATTTCAGACTAAATAAGGAGAAAAGATATTCAGCAAATGGTTTTTCAGTGTCTGTTGAAAGAAAGAAAAGGGGAGGGAACCTGGGTTTTATGTTACCTTCTAACAACTCTGAGGCAGGAATCATCAGCTGATTTTATATAGAGGTGAGGTGAGTTGCCCAAAGTCACACAGCCAATAAGAGGCAGAGCCAGGATTCAAACACAGGTCTGTCTGAGGTCAAAGCTTTGGCAGTGGCCACTGTATCACACTGCCCACTGGCTCTCTCAAAAGCTTCCTGTTTCCTTCCTTCCTTCCGTTTCCACAGCAGTTCCTTGATACAGCAGCACGAGCGTTCCCATGGTTGTGAATGACAGCATGAAGGTCAGGGCTGGCCCTGGCTATGTGGCTGCCTTTAGGGAAAGTGTGGCCTATGAATGTCTGTCTACAGCTTCAGGCCCCGGACAGTCTGGCAGCTCCTGTCAACCCTCCCATCGCAGGCGCCACATGTAAAATCAAGTTCATTCCCCCGGTGCTGCGATCTGTCCCTGTGGGATGGGGGAGAGAGACAGGACAGAAGAGGTGAAGGGAGGGTGAGACAGGGATGGTGGCAGTAGCCAGAAGGGGCAAAGGAGATAGGAGGCAGCAGAGCAGACTGACCAGTCAGCAGACGTGCGCTCCAACCCCACTCCAGTTCCCTCACTTCTTCAGCACATGACCCTGGGCAAGTTCCTTAACCTTTCTCAGCCTTGGTGTTCTCATCTGTAAAGTGGGGAGCACAAAAGTGTCTGCTCACAGGGCCGCTGTGAGGATTAAATGAGATGATACAAGCAAGTCACTTAGGAGAGTGCCTGGCACACGGCAAACATTCTAAAAACAGGAGCAGTGATTACTGCCTCTATTATGAGCATGCCACAGCCAGTCACAGGTCCCCTGTACTGTGTGCAGCACTGCAGGGAGGGCTGCCCTGACACCTTGGGGGCTCCCGAGAGCATCAGAGTGGCACTAAAGGACGTTGAGCAGGCCAGGCCCCGGACTTAGCTATTCTAGAAAGCAGGAGTTCTGACTCCACCTTGAGCTCTTCTATCTCTAGTTTGATTATCTAGAGACACCATCATTTTTCAGCCCAAGTCATCATGAAAAGGTCAAGTTACATTTGGGCCTCTGGTTGAGAAAGTGAGAAAGAGTGTGGCAATATTTCTAACAACACCTGTTTCAAATATGAATATTCCAGCATTAAGGGTTATCCTTGCTCCATCTAGAAAACACATAGGGCCCAGGGAGAGAGCTGGCAGGGCCTGGGGGAAGGGGTCCCTACCTTCAGCTGTTCCATCTTCTCCTGCTGGCTCAGGAAGTCCCTGCTGGCAGCATCTGGGGGTAGGGGGGAATGGCTGGAGGGGTTCATGAAGTCCTGCGTGACCTTGTCACAGAGCTTACAGATGATCTGCTGTTTGACCTGGTTCTTGTCCATGAGCAGCTGCACCTGCTGCTGCAGCTCCTGCACCTGCTGCTGCAGCTCCTGCGCCTGCTGCTCCCACAGGCTCGCTGTCTGCGCCAGGCTCGCCCGCTCCTGCTCCAGGGCCTCCACCTGCCTGCTCAGCTCTGCGATCTGCCGCACCTTGTGCCGCACCAGCTCCAGCCGGTCCTTGTCCCCGGCTGCCATCAGGTACGCGCTGGATGCCCTCTTCTCCTGCTGGGCAGCCTCCAGCGCCTTGTGCAGGATCTTCACCAGCTCCTGGACAGGGAAAGGGAAGCACCTTGTGAATTCGGGGAGGGCCTCTTGGGTGCCAGATGTGGGCATACATTATCAACAGTTCTCAAAACACCCTGAGAGGTGGCCAGCATCACCCTCTGCTGGGGGATCTCATCCCAAGATCCATTTTCTCCTGTTTAAGAGCATTTTTGCCAGACACTGAGTTCCCTAACTAAAGACTACATTTCCCAGCCAACCTCAGAGCCAGGTGTAGCCATGTGACTATTCTGCCTAATGGGATACAAGAAGTGATATGGGCAGCTTTAAAACCACTAGACACATAATAGACACATGCTCCCTTGGCCCAACCCCCCTTCCTTCTGGCTGGGAAATGGCAAGAACTAGAACAGCCACCGTGGACCCACAAGCAGGGTGCCCCCCATCAGAACTGCTCATCGACCTCTGGACTCTTCACTGTGCAAGAGAAATAAACTTGTTTTAGGCCACAGTACTCTGAGGCTTCTTTGTTACAGCAGCTTAGCCCTAATACACCTCCATTTTAGAGATGAACACACCAAGGCCCAGCAGAGTAGAGTGTAATTCAATCCTCAATCTTCCAGACTCCAAAGCCTGTGCTCAGCCAGTAATAAAGCCAGGATGGCAACTAAGTGGCCCATATACATTGCTCTTCCCTCTTACTCCTGTGGCAGACATTACTAATGCATCTTGGCACACCTTCCTGCCAAGCCTAGTTGAGGTCTCAGAATCCCTGTCGAATACAGGATACATTACCAACTGAGCTGAGCCAGCATTAGAGAGGAAAGAGCAGTAATCCCCACACCAAGTCACACACAGACAGCCTTATTCAGTCTACTTGTGCCCAGCCCCCAGCCCATCAAACTATGCCTGCAAGGCTGGTGCAAGGAAGCACAGAGACTTAGCAACAAGACCTTGATTTATTCCTCTACAGAGGCACCTGATTCACCTAGTAACTTAAGGTTTGGCTCCCTGTGTCTTCAAACCTTCAGTCTCCTCAGAACTCAGGGACCTGTCCTGCCCCAAAGAAGGGATATGGATTTATTCAGGGCCAAGATCAGAGTAGCAGAAGCCAGGCAGCCTGGGAGCCAGCCCTACATGGGGTAGGGCCTTTGAACCATATTGCTGTGTTCTATGCCAGTTAGAGTGTCATTAGAAAAACAGGATTTCCTGGAGAACAAATCAACTGTACCCACCCCAAAGTATTTAAATAAATGGATCAGCTGGATAGGGTTATTTGAGAAGAGCAATTCCCAAAGGAGAAGAATTATAAAAAATCATGACTAGAACACATTATATGCATCTTCTGATATCTCAGTACTAGTGACCAGGCTCCTTCTGTGGTTCATTCATTCTCTCTCCCATCCATCTATCCATCCATCCATCCATGCATGCGTGCATCCATCCATCCATCCACCCAACCTTTATCAAGCACTCACTCAGTCCAGGCCCTATACTGATGCTGGGGCCCAAAGCGAGGCCAGTCACAGTTCTCGTCTTCAAGAATTGCAAAGGCTAGTGGCGGGGGAGGGCGGGTGGTGGGCGCGGTGAACCACCACAATGGAATGGTGTGCTGCAGGAAGGAAGCAAGGGTGATTGTGGGAGTCCAGAGGAGGGACCAATGACTTCTGCCTGGGGTTGGGGTGGGGAGAGACCAGTACCTTCTATAGAAAGGTGAACAGTTTAAACTAAGCTGAGCAGAATGAGGCCAGAGATGGTCAAGCTCCAGATGAGAGATGAGGGAATGGGAGGGCAGTGCAGACAAGGCAGAGCCAAGAGCTTGAGCAAAGGCCTGGGGGAAGGAAGGAGCATGTGGGCAGCTGTGTGAGTCTTTGGGTGCAGCTGGAAAGTAGGGGTGGAAAGGTTGGTTGCAAAATCAAACTGGAATGTTTGGAATGAAGAGGTCAGCTTCCCAAGGCTCTGCTGAGAGAGATTAACATTCCTGTGGCTCCAGGATAATCAAGAGAACTGGGCAGTCTAGACCATTTTCTGGATCTGCTGAGATTTGGAGATGACCTTGCATAACTGTCTTCAAGCAAGCCTGACCTCTTTCCCTGGTGGAATAACCTACAGACACCACTGTTCAGACTTGCCTACGATCAGAATCAGATGATTCCCCCAACTTTGGGAGAGCCAATTTCATTACATCTAGCTATCTCTCCCCTCCCACACCTGGCCTTCAAAATCCCAGACCAAGACCGCAGCCCGGGAGCCTCTCCCATACCCCCAAAATCCCTGCACTAGAATGAGTCAGGAGTGGGTGAAAGGAACCAGGGGAGACAGATGGAGCCTGAGTAGGTCATGTAAGATGAGAAGCTGGGCAGATGAGTAGTGGGAATGGATCATGGATTCAAAAAACCTGGAGGCTGAAAAGGCCTTCAGGGACCAACTGGTCCAATTACCTTGCCGTCACACGTCACTGAAACTCAGGAAAGGAGAAGGGAGAGGACTAAAGGGACCACAGTGGGTCAGCATGTGCACCTGGAACAGCTGCGGGACCCTTTCACTTCTCCTTTCTGTGAAGTTAATGGATTTGGCAATAAAATTATTCCTCCATTCTTTAATTTCTTTAAAAAATGGGAATAGCTGCATTGTTTTTCTGATCATAAAAAAATTCATGTTTCTTACAAAAATTTTGACTGCATGAAGAAATACAAGTCTACCACTTAGAAAGAACTAGCATTAAGCCTTTGATATGCATTCTTTGAGACTTTTAAAAATGCATGTAGAATGGACATACATTGACTCCCTTAACACATTCTCAAAAAAATCCTCATCCTTTTAAAAGATAATATATGGACACGTTTGTTAGGACTGTGATAGATGGAAATTAGCAGAGGTACAATGAGAGCAAGATGAGAGATTGGTGGCAAAGACAGTTAAAGATGGGTGACTTTTTGTGTAATCGCTGTCTAACCAGCTCAAGTCCCATGCCAAGCGACACAAGAAATGTTAGAAGCTGACTACACTTCTGCACACACATACCATATAAACCCGTTGCCGTGGAGTCGATTCTGACTTACAGCAAACCTACAGGACAGAGTAGAACTGCCCCCGAGGGTTTCCAAGGAGCGGCTGGTGGATTCAAACTGCCGACCTTTTGGTTAGCAAGTGAGCTCCTGACATTATGTTATGCATCTCTCTAGGTCAGTCAGTATCATCTGGAACAGCTGGAGTATTCCATGTATGGATGTACCACAATTTCCTTAATTCAATCCCCTCATGATGGACATTTAGGTTGTTTCCAATTCCCCCAATTATAAGCAATGTCTTAGGATCAATTCTTAGAAATGGAAGAGCTGATCAGTCATATTTTTAATATTTCTTAATCAAATCATAGTTTGGCCCATCTTTTTGTTGTTGTTAGGTTCCATCCAGCTGGTTCTGACTCATAGCAACCCTACGCACTACAGAACGAAACACTGCCCAGTCCTGCGCCACGCTCACAATTGTTGTTATGCTTGAGCCCATTGTTGCAGCCACTGTGTCAATCCATCTTGTTGAGGGTCTTCCTCTTTTTCGCTGACCCTCTACTTTACCAAGCATGATGTCCTTCTCCAGGGACTGATCCCTCCTGACACCATGTCTAAAGTATGTAAGACGTAGTCTCGCCATCCTTGCTTCTAAGGAGCATTCTGGTTGTACTTCTTCCAAGACAGATTTGTTCATTCTTCTGGCAGTCCAAGGTATATTCAATATTCTTTGCCAACACCACAATTCAAAGGCATCAATTTTTCTTCAGTCTTCTTTATTCATTGTCCAGCTTTCAGATGCATATGATGCAACTGAAAATACTATGGCTTGGGTCAGGCTCACTTAGTCTTTAAGGTGACATCTTTGCTTTTCAACACTTTAAAGAGATCTTTTGCAGCAGATTTGCCCAGTGCAATGTGTCTTTTGATTTCTTGACTGCTGCTTCCATAGGTGTTGATTGGGGATTCAAGTAAAATGAAACCCTTGAAAACTTCAATCTTTTCTCCATTTATCATGATGTTGCTTATTGGTCCAGTTGTGAGGATTTTTGTTTTCTTTATGTTGAGGTGTAATCCATACTGAAGGCTGTGGTCTTTGATCTTCGTCAGTAAGTGCTTCAAGTCCTCTTCATTTTCAGCAAGCAACGTTGTGTCATCTGCATAATGCAGGTTGTTAATGAGTCTTCCTCCAATCCTGATGCCCCGTTCTTCTTCATATAGTCCAGCTTCTTGGATTATTTGCTCGACATACAGATTGAATACGTATGGCGAAAGGATGGAACCCTGAAGCACACCTTTCCTGACTTTAAATCACGCAGTATCCTTTTGTTCTGTCCGAACAACTGCCTCTTGATCTATGTACAGGTTCCTCATGAGCACAATTAAGTGTTCTGGAATTTCCAGTCTTCACAATGTTATCCATAATGTGTTACGATCCACACAGTCGAATAAAACACAGGTAAACATCTTTCTGGTATTCTCTGCTTTCAGCCAGGATCCATCTGACATCAGCAATGATATCCCTGGTTCAACATCCTCTTCTGAATCGGGCCTGAATTTCTGGCAGTTCCCTGTCAACATACTGCTACAGCCAGTTTTGAATGATCTTCAGCAAAATTTTACTTGCATGTGATATTAATGATATTGTTGATAATTTCTGCATTCAGTTGGATCACCTTTCTTTGGAATAGGCATAAATATGGATCTCTTTCAGTCAGTTGGCCAGGTAGCTGTCTTCCAAATTTCTTGACATAGACAAGTGTGCACTTCCAGCACTGCATCCGTTTGTTGAAACATCTCAATGGATATTCTGTCAATTCCTAGAGGCCTGTTTTTTGCCAATGCCTTCAGTGCAGCTTGGACTTCTTCCTTCAGTACCATCGGTTCCTGATCATATGCTACCTCTTGAAATGGCTGAATGTCAGCCAATTCTTTTTGGTATAATGACTGTGTATTCCTTCCATCTTCTTTTGATGCTTCCTGTGTCGTTTAATATTTTCTCCATAGAATCCTTCTCTATTGCAACTCGAGGCT